TTATTTAGTGTTCTGTCTGATGACAGGTCCATATGAACAGGATCCTTCCATCCTTTTCTCGGACTGGGACCTGTTCATATACGTTCTTGGCAGATGATCCAGAAGTGGTTTGCCATTGCCTTCTTCTGTGTGTGAATGGAGTAAGTTGGGATGCCACGGAGGAAAACTCCGTGTTGCCTAGACCACGGCCTTGCCCAACACAAATTATAAATTCGGGCACCGTCGGGAATCGAACCCGAGTCCCCAGGATTACAAGGCCAGCGTTCTAACCGCTAGACCACCGTGGCGGTTACAGTACAGATAGCGCCACTGCTTTCCTTTGCCAAAATGATACTGAACTCACTTCAGCATTGAAGATCTTGTATTCATGAAGGATCATCTGCACCAGTTTTTCATCAATTCGGGTCAAAGGACACGTTGAGTTGAAAGACAAACCGCCACCTTTCTTCACCTAATTAAACACAACAAACCCATTATAAACCCGAGTAAGTTCTAAATAAAATACTTCTGGAGATACCATACAAAAAGATTCCCAAAAGCAATAAAAATCTTGTCAGCAGAATTACAATTACCTGAAGGTGACAGTAGAGCCATCTATCTAAAAAATATACCTCAAACAATGGGAAATGTGCAACGTAACTTTTGGTAAGAATGCAGCACCGAGGAACGAGAATTTATACTACAATTTAACTATGGCTCTGGCTTTAATCAAATTAATATATGCAAATTAAATCTGAAAGTGCTCACCTTGAAGTAAATGTTTGGTTTCTTTTTGTTAAGTCGAATGCCTACACTTTCCAGCTCCTTCTCCAATAATCCACGTTGGACATCCTGTTTGGTAGCATCTAGCATCATCAGCACTAGGTCTGCGGTGCGGGCTACTGCAATCACCTGTGCAGAATGCCATCAGTAACTGACAAGTTCAAAGAAAATTAATAACGCAGGTATTACAATAACGAATTAAAAATATCTGTGAAACTTACATTAACTCACCTGCATGGACAAAGTGCCAACACAGCAACAAACTGAATCATCAACTTTTTGTTCCACAAATACACATTAACCAATCATGACTGTACCACCTAAAACACGCTTTCTTTCTTTTCTCGTCTTCAATCCTAGGATTGGTTGGCAGCCCCATTACGGGTTTTTTTTTGCGAAGATACTGCCATGGTTTCGCCTTGCCTTCCGTGCCCAATCTTTATCCATCAGACTGGAAGAGGAAGGACGCGGACAAACATCCATGCCTTGAGTGGGACTCGAACCCACGGTCCCAGCGGCCAGGCGCACGAGGTCCGCGCCTCAGATGGCGTGACCATTGCGGCCAGCCTAAAAGACGCTAAGAATAACGCTGCACTGTCTGTTACAAGTACCCCGCTGTCATTATTGACACACCTTGGGACCTATTTCATTAACTGGATCTTTAAAACTTTTTCACAATTTATTCTGATATTCTAGTAACGAGATGTTTGTTCTGAAAACACCTAATGACATCAAGCCACAAAGATTAAAGTAATATTTCATTTATATATTTCGCACTATCCTATAATTCACAAATTATTTTTCTTTACTGTGATTTTAAGAAAAAAATCAATTCACGTGAGTTTCATTCATTCCACAAAACATACAAAACTTCGCACAGATACAGGTGTTTATGATCAAATTCATTTTTATTTGTAATATTGTCAATTGTTTCTCCCGTGTATGGGCGAAATCCATTCAACACTTGGCAGAGTACTGGAGATATTCTTAGTGAAAAATGAAATGCGAGTGTGAAACATATTAGAAATTGAAATGGTCACACACAAGTGCACTCTCTCTCTCGCTATCTTTCATAACAGTTTTAAAGTCTGTGTCAAATGCATAAAAGTAGTTTTCCATGAAAAGAAAATATCCTAGTACCTGTCGTCCTCTGCCCTTGCCCTGAGAAGCCCCTTCAATAATACCAGGCAAATCCAGCAGCTGAATGTTTGCTCCCTTGTAATCTATAACTCCTGGGATGCATGTGAGCGTTGTAAATTCGTACGATGCCGCCTCACTTTCAGTTGCTGTCAAGGTACTAAGAAGAGTGGACTACAGACAAACAGAAGTCTATTGCAACCACTTTGAAACATATATACATATCCAAAACCTCAAACCATTTACATAAATACCACCTACTTAATGACATCAGAGTACAAAATCAGCAACATAAATAATCTTATATGCGACATGAGATTCCCACGGCAGTAAAGATGTCCATACTGGTCTCCAGCATCTAGTGCAGTCATCTTGTCAATTACCTGTCATTTTAATTATGAAATTTGCTCGAACCATTTGACTATATGTATTAATTTTCCTGATGCCACTTATGATGACCTCTTGAGGTCGAAACGCGTATGGCAAAAGTGTCCATTATAGTGTTAATAGTTGTTGGTTTTTTTCAGTCTATATTCTAATACACTACACGGTATGCAAAGTTTTAAGATTCTCAAGCAGAAGAGAAAACAATTCTTAACCTATCAAAAAATTAGAATTGTGGAACTTTATTTACTTTCAAATTATATATCTATGCCCAAACTCAAGAATGGTGAACTGCAGTAAAAAAAAAACCCTTTATGATAAGCACCAGGTGACATACAAAGGTGGTAACGTACCTTTCCAACAGATGGAAAACCAATTAAGGCTACACGGGCATCACCCGACTTCAAAACATCAAAGCCTTCTCCTTTCTCCGATTTCTTTGGTGGTTCAAGAAGTTGTGACCTATACTTTGCAAGCTTGGCTTTTAACAATCCAAGATGATATTCCGTGGCTGAAATAAAAATATTTAATAATGTAACCTATATCAAAATGAGCATACTCTGAAAATATTATTACTTATGACAAATTTAATCTAAACTGCACTTCACCTTTATTTTTCTGAGTTCTCGCAATTTCTTTTTCTATCTCGGATATTTTCTCCAAAATGCCCATCTCGAGTTATAAAATTAAACTATGGTAGCTACAGCAAGAACTCAAAATTTTTTAACATCAGTCCCAACAAATCATTTCTCGATGTAACAAGCCATCCTGACTTATTTCCACATAATATCACGAGCATGGGTTATCCCTACATAATGTTATCCAGTGCAACACAGATGAACACAAATACTGATGATCTGTAAGAAACGCTTCAGCTTTGATTATATCTCCTTCCACATGCAGACAGGTCCCTGATGGAATAGGCTTTCGATAGCACAGGACTAATGCTATCGAACTATCGTCGACCACGAATTGTAGCGATGTATGACAGTGTTGCCAATTGAAGCAGTTTAATGGAAATAGGGATGCTTGAAACATATTCTTGTAGGAATGTCTTTCTTTTCGAATAAGTTTTCTCATAAAAAGCCTGCTCCAAGAAGAGTCCCGTTACCTGGAACTAACAGAGAATTTGTGCCAGAGGACCTCGGCTTAGAAATTGGGCCAGTAAAATTAAAACTGGGAGATCAGGAATCAATTTTTGTTAATGGAGAATGGGTTCCAGGTAACTACGAAAAATAATATGAACTTCATTTCATGTTATATATAACATAATCGTATTACTTTCAATAATTAAACGCACATAATTAGCGTAAATAAAACAATTTGGTTAATGGGATTATTCGGCAGTAATGCTTGTAATGGGAAAAATATGAACTGCAGTAAGAAATTTGGACAGAGTTATATCAGGGTATACAAAAAAGTTTTTGAAAATTTTCCTGCCAACCCAAATAGGAATACATTGCAGTTGCCTCATTTCTAATCACCTGCAGGGCAGACAGTGTTTGATGTGCATTTGTGGACGAAACTGATTTTCTAAACTTCAGTATAGATCTGTATACTGTATGGTTATTACATAAATATACATAATAAAATCAATTTGTGATTTTTCCCAAATCTGTTATATATAGTGGCAAATAAAAAAGTTTACTCAACCGAAGTTTTTGTCATTTCTGATGCCTCAAGTCATACCATTGTTGCAGTCAAACTTGCATTATTATGCATTGCATATATGTTTGGCTGTGATACATCTTGGAAAAAGAGAAGAGAGGAGGATAAAATCAGGATAGATATTTCAGAGATAAGTTATGAGGATAGAAGGCATGTGGAACTGGCTCACACGCCACAGTTCATAAATCATTCATTATTATTTCTAAGCAGTTTTGCATGTTTCCTATGTTTACTTCTTAAAGCCATAAGCAGATAAATGTCATGGCAGCAGTTACAAGTCTTTGGGTAATTAGAACGTACTTAGATTTCAGTTTCCTTTTTGTTGTTTCCAGAGTCTGGCCCTGAGAGTGGAACACACAAGGAAAATCGTAAACTCAGACAGTGCATACAGAAACTTGAAGATGAAAACAACTTGTTAAAACTGAAATTTGAAATTTTACTTGATATGGTAAACTACTCATGATATATCTGATTGGGGAAACTAATTTAAAAACTACAGTGTTCATATTTGATAACTTTAACTGAATACTTTTTTTTTCTTGTCTACAGCATTCATAAAATATTGGGGTGTGCTGCCAGTTTGTTAGCAAGAGACTCACACCAGCAAATTATATTTTATTTTTCATTAATTTTTGCATTTGGAAGGAGGGACACGTGAGATTTATTGATATATGGATGTGTGTGTGTCGATATTTTGATACTGATAAGAGCTCAGATAGTTAGCTAAAAATTAACAGGGTGCTCATATGAGTCCCTCAGATCCTCCTTGAAAAACATGCCATGAAGAAGAGGGTTTTACAAATGTACATATGAGTGAATCCAATTTGCAAAGCCCTGAAATTATTTTATATGTGATATACCAATGTAACTAATCCAAGTGTTCTGGACAGACCAGCTGTGTATCGCACCTTTTCTGATGATGTATGGTTCCTTTCAGCTGACACAAAAAACAGCAGAATCTCTTTTGCAAGATAATCAGATCAAACAAACAACTCCAAAAGGAAGTTCTGGACACTTCAAGAACATCCCAAAGAAACATAAATAGAAGATTTCTAGCTCCTCAGTAATATTGTGGTTGAATTTTTCTCCCAGTATCACACTGCAGAATTTGTCATTTTTAGAAGATGTGAACTGTAAATTCTGGTAACTTCTGTAGGTTCAGCTGATGAGATACACTTGCACAAACAATCATGAAAACTTCTCCATGTGTGCACGCACAAATGCTGGTTTAGATAAATGTGTTTATTGTGTGTTCTCTTTTGTGCCTTTAACCCACTGGAATATTAAGTTTCAAAATCATGAAATTTGCACATTCACATTTCACAGCTGTCAGAGTGATTTGCTCAAGTGGTAAGCAGCAAAGTATGATTTTGGATTAATAAGATCATTTTGTACAAAAATTCTGTATGCTTTGATGCAGTATGTTGTAGAAAAAGTATTCCAATAAAGATTACGGAACAGTGGATGGACATTTTCAGTGAAATGTGGCAAAACTTGAGGTCAGAAAGTCAAAAATAGTCCCATGCAAAAATGGTCTTCTTATGGATCCTTCAATCTCATTCATAATTATAATATATCATATCTTCCTCAACAGTTTACCACAAATAAAATGGCCGCAAGCAAATATATGCCCCATTACCATTGATCTTAAACTTTGCTTTAGATTATGCAATTAAGCAAGGGGGAAAACTAATAAATACTAACGAACCCTTGGGCTTTATAAAAGCGGATAAATTTTCCTAAGTAAGTATGATTGAATGACTGAAAGATTGTAAAAAAAATTACCATTTAAAAGCACACACTGATTAAATGTGCGCCACCGCAATTGGTAATCCTGCTGTATATTTCGACCCGTTTCGATGGCGTTTGTGAAAACTTCAAAACGCAGTATTTCTGAGTCTTTCTTCGAAAGTTAGGTAGACATCTTATACAGGTAACCGGTAGCCTGAATGCCGTTATAAACAAGCACATGTTCGGATACCTTTCGTCATAATAAGCATCATTTACTATTTGCAGTACAATTTTTTTTCGTCACCAGATCTTCAGACTATCTCAACTTATAATCCTCTGGCAATATTGAGTACCATTTTCGCTGAAAGTAATATCAACATGAATGTCATGAGAAAAATCTGGACACGAAGTTCTTCCTATCTATATACTTTACAAGAGAAGCCCATATTAAATAGGTAAGTTAATTTTTAGTAAATAACTATGTTAATATCATTTGGCGACTTTTTTTGTTGAAAAATCGCAAATTGTGCAGTAAACCACAGCTTGGTAGACTTAATTTTGAATACGAATTGGCTGAATTAATAAGTTCATGCAAGATATTGGTTATGTAAGTTAACCTCACCATAATACGTCTATTAACAGAAAGGCAATGCCAGATAAATTTTTTATCACTTTAAATATACTTTATTTACATTCCATAGATCCTTCATATGATAGTATGAATTGTACATTATAATATGTATTGTATTATTATTATAACTTTTTACACATCCTGTTGTCATCTATCTTATGGAAACATGGAATGTAATAAATATAGATGTATGTAACGAAACTACGAACCCGTGATTATTTGAAACCACAGTGCGAAATGTATAACCTGCAGCACAAAAGAGGTTAGGACATTATAATAAATGGTGCAAGCTGGAAATCGCAATCAGATTATTAATCCACCATTAAATTTAAACTTGCGTCATTTTCACCAATCAAATGTCTTTAATTTCTCAAATGCTACCCATCCCGGGTACTGCACGTATTATTAACTGCTACCTTTTGTTATTATTTGAAACCATTGTTAATAACTGGTACCACAAAATACATTGAGGCAATATAAGTGTGTCTAGCAGGACCATACTATTATAATGAAAAGATGGCTATCTTCTGGGATGTTGCACCATGTAGATACTCCTCAATAATATCGTCTACACATAGGGAGACAGGATCACTGCCAAAATTCCAGGTCTGTGCTTACCCACAATTGGCAGTATAATGGACAGATAGAAAGAATGCTTTAAGCCACATGGAAATTTTATGGATATATGTATATCCTGTGAGATACAAAAAGTATATTTGATACTGAATTTTTAACTACTCCCTACACATTACAGGTATATTTCTAGAGAACTGACAAAATTTTTGAGACTACTATCCCTGCTCAGATCTTCTGTTAAATTAAATGTTTTCAGAGACCAGAAAGTCTATAATATGCACAAAATATTAGTTATGGCCTGACCTCCAGGATTCTTGCAGGCCTGCTCATACAATATTTTAACTTCATTATAAAACAGGGAGAATTGCAAATTCATATTTTGACTATCACATTGCTGTAGAATAGATTAAAAAGCGATAATTTAAAATGTTATGTGCTTAGCGACTCACCTTAGTTGTTGCCATATTACCATAGACAGTTAATTGATAGAAGCTTGTTCTTATAATAACCCTCTCTGGGTTTGTAGCACCATGAAGTTTGGTAAACTACATACAACTCGGAAGACACCCATCTTCATTCTCATAACCCTGAAAACCTCAAATCCTAATAAATTTTTATAAAAGTAAATAATCTTTGCCTGCTGTTTTACGTAGTCCCATACATTCTATCAACTGCAGTAAAATCTGAAGTTTTCGTGATCAAAAATTGTTAATTTGTAATAAACTCTAGTGACTTAAGCACATTTCAATAAGTTATATTTGCATATATACTGCAATTGCCATTCCTGGAGATTAAATGTGTCAAGGGAATGCTTTATAACTTCGGCTCCTGTACTTTAAGAATACAAACCGTCTCGAAATCAAATGATTTCTGCAAAACCATTACATGTATATTTAAATACAGGTCGAAAGTCTAAAAAAGTAGCCCAATGATTCACAAGGTGGTGATGAAATCTCAAATGGTGCCATTTACCATTTTAGTAGGTTCACCATTATCAATACAAATTGAGCTTTTCGGAAGTAGATTTTAATGCGGACTCTGCGCTTTTGAAGCTATGTAGAACGGAGTCACATGAAATTGAACTTATTAAAAATCGACTGGAAGCTGACAAAGGCAAATGTTTCTGCCACAGAAATGCATTAACTCTCAGTATAACAGCCAGGTAATTAGGACACTGCCAATTTAATTTCACCAGATCAATACAAACCTCAGAATAATTTTACACAATTATGCACTACAGCTCGTAAACTTGCTAATGCACATGTTCATCAAAATGGACATTGTCCCATAATTTCAATGGAATTGTACTCTTAAATAACGTCGCCATTTACTTTTCAGGCTCGGATTTTGCCTAGCCCACACACAAACAGAAAAGCCGGAAGATGAGCCTGCAAAACCTGTAAAATATTCAAAGAGCAAAGCAGCGACGTGGAAAGCGGAATACACCAGAACTGGAGGTCGCCAAGACCACCCCTGGTACCAGACGTACGTGGTCTCTGGCAGTTTAACCGTATTTTTGGCTTACTTCTGCATCTTCAGAGAAGAAAATGACATCGACGAAGAGCTAGGAAAATCCTTGTATGACAGGATATCGGGATTGGAAGAGCGACAGTTGGAAGCAGCACTCGAATATGACTCGGACCACGGGCACGATACCTCAAGAATAGAAGCAAGGTTAGAAGACCTTAAAAAGAAGTAATTCTGTAGATCAAAGACATGTTTATGAATAAATAACACAGTACCACATAAACCTTTTATTTCTAAACATTTGCGATAATCTCCATGAACATTTTTTGACACATATTAAGAACCATGAAAGGATGCACAAATAAAATTATCCATCATATTTTTTTTTTGGGGGGGGGCGGAGGCATTAAAACATGGAGATTATATACAGTACGTCCACAAAGTCCCTTCGGGGTTTTGAAAAATAGTGGCGTGCAAACAAATTGAGCTAGCCACGTGCGGTTTGCGGCAGATTACGGCGAAACTCTTGAAGATGGTGCTCCACCTCATTGGCATCTGCAGGTATGCACATATGTAGACAGGACATTTCCAGGTAGACGGATCGGCAGAGACGGTCCAATGCCTTGGCCTCCGGACATAACACCACTGGATTTTTTCCTGTGGGATTGTCAAGAGCAATGTGCTTTGAACACCAGTTAACGGACCTGATGACCCATATCAGGAATGTGATCTCGGCTATTCCGGCGGACATGCTCCACAGAACATGGAAAGAGCTCGAATATAGTCTGGACGTTCTCCGTGCTACCAAGGGAGCCCACATCGAGGTCAGTAAAAAACTTCCAGAGTTTCACCGTAATCTGCCGCAAACCGCACGTGGCTAGCTCAATTTGTTTGCGCACCACAATTTTTCAAAACCCCCCGAAGGGACTTTGTGGACACACTATATATATATATATATATGTATACATGATAATGATAAATTATATTTATTTAAACTCGTAATTAGCACAAATACTGTAGAAATAAAATGGAGATCTCTCTGTTTGACCTAAGGAGTTGCTAGGTACACTTCCTGATCAATCAATGTCATCTGGAAAAAAAAATAACGAGGCCGAAAATAACGTTACTTTAAACACCACGCAACTCCCTTTCCATAGGAATGATTATTACACTAACTACGTCTAATTGAAATACCAGTCACTATTACAAAAGGATATGCAAATGAATCCTCATTAGCGAACGGATATTTCGACCAAGTACGGTCACGACAACTCCTCTCCTCTAGACACAACACAAGATAATTTGTAACTTAAAACTCTGAACAAATACGTCAACACTTCTTGCACTACGACTACCAAATATTACCATTCTTTCGAGGAATTTAAGAACCAATTAATTAGCTTGAAAAAGACACCAACTGTATAAAATACTTGATCATACAGACAAAAAGGTGAACATCGCAAACATCTTGTGGGAAATCACAATATCACCAACTCAAACTAACCATAAGCAGTGCAAATCTGCGTATCCAACCCTTGGCAGTGTATTGTAGGGGGGTTTATGTAATCGAATACAAATGATTGTGGAGATGAACTGAATGACAATGATCCTGTAACATGAGGACGTCCACCACAAATCCTGATACAGAAAACTGTTAAGTCTTTAACCTATGCCTGTTTAAGCGCGTTCGCCGCGGATTCGCCGAGCGAGCTGAATGTCCTTCGGCATGATCGTCACACGCTTTGCATGAATGGCGCACAAGTTGGTGTCTTCAAATAGGCCCACCAAGTAGGCCTCACTGGCTTCCTGTAAATATCACAAAAATATTAATATTGCCCCTGAAAACGCAATATTAGAAATGCCCAAGGAACAGATGACAAACTCGTCTCAAAGACAAATATCCCTAAAAAAAAAAAATGTTGGGAGCAGCATGGAATTAACGTCCTTATACCGGGTCTACAATTCATGAGTCTCGGGGCGTGGTCGGCCGGAGCTCTGTTGATGTGGGCGGGAGTCGTGCGGATTCTTCCGGTGGGTGACCGGCGAATCAGTTTCAGCACCGCTAGTAACAGCGAACTACGAATATTTCTCGTCAATTACATTAATTGTTTTTACCTTAAATCACAAAAGATGTTCAAAGTGACTTACATGTGCTTGCATGCAACTTCACATCTCGTTAACATGTTTCTAAATACTCGACGAAACTCTTCTTGGGAAATTGCCGAAATCATTTGTCGAATATTTTCTCTAAGTGCTTCTGCAGTGTGCGGATAGTTTACATAAACTTTTTTCTTCAGCATGCCCCACAGGTAAAAATCGCACGTGTTCAAGTCTGGCGAACGGGGAGGCCACTGATCGATAACTTGTTCACGAAGAACTTCTATTAACGCTAACATCGACCGATCAGCTGTATCATTGTCTCGCATGTAGAAACCACAAGTCTTTTCTACATCGGTCATTCCTTGGAAAAAGGGTCAAACTATTAAATTTACGTAACGCTCACAATTTATCCGCACACTGCAGAAGCACTTGCAGAAAATATTCGGCAATTTCCCAAGAAGAGCTGGGCGACCACGCGATGCAAGCACGACCGCAGTGTCATGAATCGTAGACCCGGCACTTCAGAATCTCCTGCATTTCATCTCAAAATTGTGCCCAGGATAACTGCCGCCTTTTACTGTACTTAAACGTGCGCAAGTTTTTACACAAATAGGTACTTCAAAGCACGTGTTCAATCAGTACACACCTGAAGAGCGCCGATGGCAGCGCTCTGGAAGCGAAGGTCTGTCTTGAAATCTTGCGCTATCTCACGAACAAGGCGCTGGAATGGCAATTTCCTGATGAGCAACTCAGTGGATTTCTGGTATCGCCTAATTTCTCGAAGAGCCACGGTACCTGGCCTACAACAAACGTGGATGTGTTGTAATAAGTTCAGTATACATACGCTTTAGAGGTGCACCAAGTATTGCAACATTCGTCCTAGTGCCACGCTTCGTGAACAACTACCAAGATGAAACCGAACACCGTACTTCAACAAATGGTAATGGAACCAAAGAACAGACAAGACAATGCAGATATATTACACGATCGTCAAAACCCTTCAGACTACAACAAAAGTTGTGTATAAACATCGATACACCGAAGCTTCCTTCATCCGAGTCTGAATTTGAATGAAATTTCCAAGAGATATGACCAACTGTGCCACCAGTAAACACCGAAAGATGTGTTTGGCACTGGATGCATGAGATAGTGAAAATGTTTGCGTTTGGCAGTGACTTGTGCCTCACAAAACATTTTGTACAAAAGCTTTAAGAAATAACTATGTCAGGGCAAGTTATTTATTGTACAATAACAAAAATTTTAACAATATGTATTAAAGCACAAAGTTTTCCTAATCAAGTATGTAGATTCTATAAAAATCGTTATATTTATAGAAGATAAAAGTTATATATTTTCATGGAACTTAACCTCACTACTAAAAACCTTTCAACATAAGAGGTTTCAATGTCGACTCAATCAAGCAACAACTTCCTAATAAAAAATCTTGAAAACATTGAAAATTACCAGACAAAAATTCAAAACAGATGATGCACTGGAATTAACATTCTTACAAACAACAGAATCTTATATAAAATCTGGATCATGATTTCATTGATAAATAAAATTATTTTTGTTCATGTTCAAATGTGGGCAGTCAACGTGTTTCTGAAACTGCATTTCAATGTCATAAACTGTACTCTGATGTGCCCCATATCTTGCCTTATTGACACATTACAGTGGCCAAAGACTATATACCAAGATCTTATTCCGTAAGTCATAATCGGCCAAAACTTTTGCAGTTGTACTTCCGACATAATCTGACAACACATTTCAGCAGACACATGATGCTGCATCCTGATGGACGGCTTGGCCGACAACTATCGAATTGACAAACATGGTTACAAGACCCCACCCTACCAATTTCAATGTATTGATATTAACATAAAGTAAAGAAATTACGAACTACTTCAATAAATTTTCAATGCTTAAAGATGCATGACCACCCTGATGTTCCTGAAAGACAAAATCATCCAGAATTTTAAATATCCGTAGCTCCAAAACCAATGAAAACCGGAACCACATTCATGAACTTTACCTATCTGCTAAGACAAATGAGATCCATGGTCAAACCTAAAAAATACCAAGATGACAGGTCTTGAAACATCCCTTTAAGGCATATAGTCATCAATATTTTTGTAAATCATTAATATACTCTGATAAAACAATACCAAATGTGTTTTTGCATATTAAATTTTCCATGTCCAGATTCAATTGTGGCATTTTTAAATCAGAAGAGAAAACAACAAATAAAATACCAGCTTCCATCACACTGCCAGCCTCACTAATGCACTGTAAATAACAGTGATCATGTGGATGATACTGGTTGCTTCTTAACAAATATATAATGGATTGTGTGCGCTTTACAAACAATTTGACACACTTCTTCAATAATAACCTGCATACTTTGGGACTTTTTTCCAGTTGCTCTTGGTGTGAGTTGCATGCAGAAACTATACAAACATTTTGTTAAAAAAAGACACACATAATTTTAGTAAGCAGGCTTATTTGTAAATACAACACACACATTAAAAACATATTTAGACACCGAGAGTCAAACTTGATTTTCACAAGTTCTCTACCATGCCAACTGGTCTACAAGGTAACACGGGCAATGACACAAAATATAGCACTTATCTCCATTTTGCTTCTGAAGGAGTTAGAAAAGTCATTAACATAAACTAACATGTTATTCAAAATAGGTAGACATCCTGATGTTTTAACAGACACCTGGCATAAGTCACTGTAGTAAATTGAAGAGCCACGTACAGACAAACACAAGATTACAAATGATGAAATATAACATCAGTTGTACACTTACATAACTTCTAGTAAGAGAATAAGAAAACTTCAAGCACTGGATTTTTGTTGTGTAGTCTGTACACAACACATAAAAATGGTTTGGGTGAAGTCAATAGCCTGCAAGAATATTTCAAATTCAAGAACTTTATTTCTTAATGTGTACAAGTAATAAGGCATTGAAAAAGTTGACAGTGGAACCACGGTTCCGAAGAATCTGACGTAAATACGACTCAGTAATGTAATAATTCTTCGTGGGGACAGTCCAGTTTCATTCATCAAATTATTCTTTTTTTACAAGGCCGGGTTGTTGGCCCTGCGCTCAACCCCCAACTTGGGAGGACCAGGGACTCCTCTGTCTGGGTTACCATACCATAGCCAGGACTCATTCTAAAACGTTTTTACCAGCACAAAACTATTTAATCTACGACGCACTTCTACAACCGATTCACAGCTCAGCTCTTTCCGCAATAACGAAAGAGGATTGTTGACGGCAGTAATCTAACACAACAATGCCGAGTAAACAGATGACGTTTCTTAGGTAATAAAACAATGCACGGAAGCTGACCATTGTTGTCGGTCCATAATTACATTGTTGATATGGATCTTACACGTTTTCATTCCACTTTTGTTTGCCGAATGACCCTTCCCTATAGACATATTTACGTCAAAACACATACTGACGAATTGGTAAAGCCAAAATACGTAACTGCTAATAAAATAGCACTGGCCATCAGACTTTTACAACCAGTTTACTGTCTACACTTGATAAACCAATGTTTATAATTACATGCTGTGGAATTTTGAATGTAAGCGGACCTGTGAGACAAAAGACACTGCTTCAAACTTTTGCATGCTGGTTATTTACTAATTTATTTCAGTATATTGATGAAAACGCACACATAAATGGGCGACAAGTTGCAACAGTGAACACAAATGCCAAATTATTTCAAACAATGCATACCAGTAATATGGCAGACAAGTAGTGGTGAGGTCAACCACGTGCTTTACGAATACTTATAAGGGTACAATTATAAACTTCGTTAGGGTCAACTTAACAAATCCGGGCTCATAACCGAAGTATAATAAATACAGCCTTGGCACATAATTCCAACTTACCTGTAACGATGAGGTTTCTTCACGCCTCCTGTTGAAGGCGCGCTTTTGCGAGCTGCTTTGGTGGCCAACTGTTTACGAGGTGCCTTTCCTCCAGTGGATTTACGGGCCGTTTGCTTTGTACGTGCCATCTTTCAACCTACATAAAATGAAGATGTTACTATATTACGAAATCCAAGTAATTCGATGATCACATAAAAATAGGTCTAATATACGGTCTGATTACACAACAGAAACCTAAAACCTCGGTCACCAAATGATTCAACTATAAAGGGAAAGCGCTTACACACGAAGAAAACGTTGACACGACTGACACGGAATGCGTTGAACTACAATACAATGGCGGCGCACAAACACTTTCCTCACGCGAACTTCAGTTTCAATACAACATAAAGAAACGTTCTACACCTTAATATAATCAATTTTTAAAGATATTTCAAACAAGAATTGATTCATAAGAACACGTTTTCTTACCTAGTACAGAATTTTATCACCACAAATACTATATCGCCTAAAACTGCTCGACAAACTCCACTCGGACACAAATGAAACTTCTGGGAATAACAAACCGACGCCGATACTCTGCCTACTCCAATTGGTTACAC